ACTGCACTAGCGTGAACACCTGCAGTCGCCTTCCGGGCCGCCGCCTCCGCCTCCGCCCTGCGTCGTGACTCGACCCCCTGCTGAAAGAGATCCCCATCAGCCGCCAGAGAACCCAGGAGGTCTTGAACCTGCTCAAACTTCGATGCCTGGGCGCGCTTGAACCCAGGGGGGAGGTGGCCAAACAGCGTTTCCACAGGCCCATGTATGGCAGAGTTTCCCTCGGCGAGACAGGCCCGTCGATGCAGCTTCTGCAACTCCACCTCTTGAGCTCTCGCCGACTCCGCCAACTGCTTCTGAGACTCCACGCATTCCTCGAGGTCCTGCTCCAGTTCCTCAAGCTTCTGGCGAATGGAAGACTCCGTGGCCTTGGCGGCCTATAGCTGGCTCTGGTAGTGGACCAGCTTGTCCTGATGAGAACGAACTCGACTCCACGGTGTACCACCCTGATCAATATCATCGGCAGAGGGCGCGAGGGGAATCTGAGCCTTGGCAGCCACGACCAACGGATGCGTGGGCTCAAGACCTGCGAGAGTGAGCTGCTCAACTGCTGCGGACAAATGCTCCTGCTTGGCAGCCCTGCCGTTGCCATTCCCTTTCCCTTTTCCCTCGCGAGGCAGCTGCCGTCCCACTCTTGCCCGACCCTGGCGAGCCAGACTGGGCCGCGGGGGGCAGCACCTTGGTCGGCGTTCTTGCCTCCCCTGCGGCCCTTCTTGCCATTGCCAACCAACTGCCATGCGTCTTGTGCCTGCTGCCCACCAGATCTCCACGGACGGGGTGCCGTGACAGTATCCCGAACAACAATATCACGAATCCACTTCTTGCAGCGAAAGCAGCGGCTCCAGTCCACGAGGTTGTACTGGTAGCCGCGCGAACTCTTGCCATGCCACGTTTTGTGACCATTCTGAGACTGGTGGCGCTGTGGGCGTGCAGGACGATCCTTCGGAGGGTCGGGGACCATGCCGCGCGCGCCCGCGCCGAAAACAACCTCGTCTGGCCAGGCAAACGAGGGGCACTGTGGGGGCCGCTGCTCCCCCTTGCCAGTGAGGCCAGGTCCTGCACCAAAGCGGCTACGGACTCGAGCCAAAATGGCCACGGAAAAAGAGGTAGAGGAGGAGGGAGAGGAGGCGGAGGAGGAGAAGGAGGAGGGGGAGGGGGGGGGAGAGGGAGGAGGAGGAGGATGAGGAATACTAATAATAGTACTAAACATTATACTAATCATAATAAGAAAAAGAATAAGGAGACTAATAATAAGAAGACTAAGGAAACGAAGAAGCAGAACAAGGGAGGAGGAAGTGAGGGGAGGGAGTAGGAGGTAGGTGTAGGTAGAGTCGGCACAGGAGGATACTGCAGAGGAGCACGAGGATCATGAGGAGCATGAGCAGACGGATGGGGAAGAGAGACGAGAAGGATACCGAGACGAAAAAGAAACCCAGGAGAAGCTCGCGCGAAGTCACAACCAGTAGCAGCCACGCAAAGGGTGAACATGTGATTCGGGCAGGAGAGGAGGAGAAAGGCGGGAAGGGGCGAGAAACAGAGGCGAGGAGAGGGTGAAGGACGATGATAAGGAAGAAGAGGAGGAATGATACGGAGGAGGAGGATGAGGAGGAGAACGAGGAGGAAGACATCTGAGGACATATGATGATGATGCTGATGAGGATGGTGAGGGGGAGGAGGCAGGATGATGAGGACGAGGAGGAACATAGCTGTAGAGGAAGGGTCAGGAGGAGAACCAGGGGAAGAAGAGGAACAACCGCAACATGATGAGGGGGAACGGGGAGAGTGATACTGCTAAGGAGGATACGGGAGGAGGGAGGATCACGAGGAGCGTGGAGGAGCAAAGGAGAAAGGCGGAGAAGAAAGAGGAGGAGGGAGGACGAGAAGAGGAACGGGAACATGATAATCGGGAAGAAGGCGGATGCCACTTGTATACGTTGGGGCCCTCTCTCCCCCCTCACCTCTCTACCTCCTCCCCCTCCTCTTCCTCCTTCCTCCTCCCTCCTCCCCCCTCCTCCCCCTCCTCCTCCTTCCTCCTCCGCCCCTTCCCTCCTCCCCTCATCTCCTCCTCCCTTCTTCCTCCTCCTCCCCCTCCATTCCTTTTCCTTATGAACAACTTCTCCCCGTCACACCCCGAAACCAGTTTTTAGGGAGGGTCGGGCGTTTCGCCTGAGACTTCCTCACCACGTATGACTCTGCAGCTTAAACATTGGCAGCGTTTTCACATATGGAGAACGGGCCGTTTTAGAAATGCGGTTCTCGCCTTAGCACCGCGCACCTTCCTTTTAAACAAATGCAAGAGCTTCACGGATTGAGGGCAGATCGTTTTTCCCCATATCCTAAGATGGGGTTCTTGTTATTACTTGGACGCCTCCTCCTCCTCATCCTTCCTCCTCCCCTCCTGTCGGGCTTACTCATACTCAGACTTGCTCATACACAGACCTACTCATACTCAGACTTACTCATACTCAGACCTACTCATACTCAGACTTACTCACACTCAGAAATACTCATACACAGACTTACTCATACACAGACTTACTCACACCCAGCCGTACTCATACACAGACTCACTCATACCCAGACTTACTCATACACAGTATGAGTCATACTCAGATTTACTCATGCCCAGACGTACACATACACAGACTTTCTCATACACAGACCTACTCATACCCAGACTTACTCATACACAGACTTACTCATACACAGACTTACTCATACTCAGCACCCCTAAGGGGAGCCGCCAGGGGTGGTTGCACGGGCTCGTTCGCGGCCATTTTGTGGGGATGTCTCAGGCGGTTTGCTTGTTCTGGCCCAACATCCTTCGCTTGGAGAGCAGATTGTGAGGATGTCTCAGCGGGCGCTGGTTTCAGCACCCCTAAGGGGAGCCGCCAGGGGTGGTTGCACGGGCTCGTTCGCGGCCATTTTGTGGGGATGTCTCAGGCGGTTTGCCTGTTTCTGTGCCCAACATCCTTCGCTTTCGGAGCAGATTTGGAGGATGTCTCGAGCGAGGCGCTCATTTCAGCACCCCTAAGGGGAGCCGCCAGGGGTGGTTGCACGGGCTCGTTCGCGGCCATTTTGTGGGGATGTCTCAGGCGGTTTGCCTGTTTCTGTGCCCAACATCCTTCGCTTTCGGAGCAGATTTGGAGGATGTCTCGAGCGAGGCGCTCATTTTCACCCCCCAGGTGGGCCAGATTTTGAGGATGTCTCGATCGGTTTGCTAGTTTTGGTGGCCAGGCTCGTGGGCGCAGATTCTTCTCAGGATGCCACAGGAGGCTCCAACAGGCTCCAGGAGGCTCCAGGAGACCACATGAGGTCCCAGGAGGCATCAGGAGGCCACAGAAAGACTCAAGAGGCTACAGGATGTCCCAAGAGGCTCCAGGAGGCCCCAGGAAGCTCCAGAAGGCTTCAGGCGGTTTGCCTGTTTCTGTGCCCAACATCCTTCGCTTTCGGAGCAGATTTGGAGGATGTCTCGAGCGAGGCGCTCATTTCACCCCCCAGGTGGGCCAGATTTTGAGGATGTCTCGATCGGTTTGCTTGTTTTGGTGGCCAGGCTCGTGGGCGCAGATTCTTCTCAGGATGCCACAGGAGGCTCCAACAGGCTCCAGGAGGCCCAGGAGACCACATGAGGTCCCAGGAGGCATCAGGAGGCCACAGAAAGACTCAAGAGGCCACAGGATGTCCCAAGAGGCTCCAGGAGGCCCCAGGAAGCTCCAGAAGGCTTCAGGAAACCACAGGAGGCCCCAGGAGGCAACAGGAAGCGCCAGGAGGCCTCGGAAGGCAACAGGAGGCCCCGAGAGGCCCCAGGAGCAGGAGGCCTCAGAAGGCAACAGGAGTGGCTCCAATCCCATGTGTTTTACGTATGCTCCTATCGATTGGGCCTCACCTGGAGCACGATTCTTTGATGTTCTACGTATGTTTCTATAGTCCTTGGTGTTTTACGCGTGTTCCTATAGATTGCCCTTCTCCTGTGGCTCTAATCCGCAATGTTTTATGTACGTCTGTTGCTATAGATTGCGCCTCTCCTGGGGCACGAAACCTTCCTAGGAGGTCCCAGGAGGTCCCAAGAGGCTCCTGGAGACCCCAGGAAGCCCCAGTAGGTTTCAGGAGGCCCCAGGAGGCCCCAGGCTCATGCACAGAGACGCGCTTGTACTACTGAGGCTCATTCACACTCCAATTCATTCGCAGTTAGATTGATGTCCAGACCGTCACAACTGACGCACGTTAATATTCGAAAGCTCTTGCGCCTAGACATTCACGGCGGACAGGTCCATGCGAGTAGATGCACATATGGGGAGCTCCACGCAGTGAATAATTAATGTGACTCTCGCTTTAGCGCCGCGTACTTTCATTGTAGAATACTGCAAGAATTTCACGGATTGAGGGCGGCCCGTTTTCAAACTGTGGCTCTCGCTCTGGCGCCGCGCATATCGGTTCTCAAACAATTCCAAGAGTTTCGCGGATTGAGGGCGGTTTCTTTTCAGAATCTGGCTCTCGCTTGAGCGCCGCGCACATTCGTTTTTACAATTTACAACGGTTTCACGGATTTCCATCATCTGTACCAGAAATGTGCTTCGGAGGGATTCAGGATAATGCGGGCGCAACAGTTACACTGGTCGCGGTGTTGAAGTCCCAATGATGGCGTTCTGGCGCGATTCAGAATCGGCAAGACGCAGTCATGTTGATCCGTGGCGTTGGAATCGCTAGAATTTTTTTTGTGCATGCATCAGGGTCTTCAAACGGTTGTCTTCCAACGAGGCAGTTCCCTCAATGGAAATGAACCGTTGTAGGAGCCTATGAAGAGGGAGTTTGGAGGGAGGGTTTATTCCAACATCGTTGATGACTCTTGGGTTTGGTCCTCCTCTTCCTCCTCCTCCTCCTCCTCCTCCTCCTCCTCCCCTCGTCCTCCTCACCGTCTTGCCCCTCGGAGCGGGGACGAAGAGCGCGAGGGAGGACGAGAGAGACCGCCGCCGCCAAACGCCCCCCCCCCCCCCCCAGGAAGCCTATGCTCGCGACCGCGGGGCGCGGGCGGGCCGTGTGGCCCATCCCGCCCGCCGGCCCGGCGGGTGGCCGCCGCCCGCCGCGAGGGGGGGGCTCTGCCGCTCGGGCCGGGCGGCCCGTGGCGTCGGTCGTCGTCGGCAGGGCGTCAGCTGGTCGTCGGCTGGTCGTCGGCTGGACGTCGGGTCGTCGCCGGTCGTCGCCGGTCGTCGTTGGGCGTCGGCTGTCGGCAGGGCGTCGGGCGTCGGTCGGTCGGTCGTAGGTCGCCGTCGTTGGCTGTCGGATCCAAGCTTCAGGGGCCGCCCAAACGGAGCCAGGGTAGACTGGGCTGCGGGCAAAGGTGACCCTGCACGCCTCACCCGAAATAGGCATGACGCCTGCTATTTTCGGAAGTCCCACCAGCCCTCTGGGCGTCGGTGGTTTCGGGAATTTCCTTTTCCACCCCTCTTTCTTCCCCTTCGAGGAAAGGCTTACCCCTCCCCCTACCCCCTCCCCTGGACCTGGACAAGAGGTTCCGCGAGGTGTCGGGGCGTCCAAAACGGCCTCGGCGAGGAAGCCAAAATCATTGGTTGTACTAAGGTTTTGGCCCCATTTTGGCTTGGGGGGGCCCTAATTAAAGCTCCCCTCTTGTTTGATCGATCTCCTCCAAAATGGCCCCAAGAAGCGCCCAGGAGGCCCCAAGAGGTCCCAAGATGGCCCCAAGATGGCCCCTAAGAGGCCCCCGAGAGGCCCCCAGGAGGCCCCCAAAAGGATCCCAAGCGGCCCCAAGAGGCCCCCTCGAGGTACCGAAGAGCCCCCCACGACCGCCAAGAGACCCCCAAGACGTCCCAAGATGCCCAAGAGATACTCCAAGAGGCTCCGAGAAGCATCCTATTCATCCTCCGAATCATCCTATTCATCCTCCTTCTCCCTACTCCCTCATCCATCCATCCAATTTTCTCCTTCGCCCCCTCTCTCCTTCACACGGTTCGGCCGTCACCCTCTTTGCTCCCGCACTTCGCTGATCACCTCTCAACTCGTCTGGACATCGTTTCTGGATGGGCTGGTGGGGATCCTTTTTTAGTCAGCGGCCGCAGGCGAGCGCGCCAGCGGCGAGCCCACTCAAAGCGGGGCACGCAACGACACATTCACCTAAAGCAACGGGGCGCAGCCTAGGCTGGTGGGGATACTTTTTGGTCGCGGCCGCAAGCGAGAGCGCAAGCGGCGAGTCGTAAGTCCGGGGCGCGGGCCTACGCTGGTTGGGATACGCGAAGCGTCTAGAATTGTAGGGACAGCGCAACACCGATGCTGGCACTGCAGTCGGCGCGTGCTACCATGAGCAGAGCTGAGTAAGGACATAGAAGGCCTTTTTTTTCGTCCTTTCTCCAACCGCTGACGTACATAGTAAGGATATATAAACCCTGAGAGGGCGTTCCGTGCCCAGCTGATGAGGATCTTGCCGTTGCCAGCGTGGACGTCCTGCAGATGGCCTGGGCGCAACGCGCGCCCAATTCTCGCCCATCTCGCCTAGGGCTGGAAGTTCCTGCCGTCGCGCGCGAGGACGCTGCCACGAGCCGCAAATAGCGAGGCCCAGCCCCCGCTGCAGGATGGCTGCCACGCTCTGGCTTTCCGATGGGCCGCCGCGCGTAGCGCGCCCCCTCGTCTCGCCCGCAGTGCCTGATGGGGCTCCTCGACGTGGTAAATGTGGCAGAAGTCCTGCTCCACGAGCCTGAGCATGTCGCCGTCCAGGCTGCCAATCCTGCGCTGAATCTCTTTGCCATCCTCAGGCTGTCTGTGTTGGGCGTCATCTTGAGTTCGTTCTAGACATCCTCGATCTTCTGGCGCGCCCTGCAACGTGTGGCAGCCCGCCGCGGCAGGGTGCGCCCGCGGAAAAGCTCTGGGCGCCACCCGCGCGAGTTGCTTGCGGCGCCTGGGCTAAGCCGAGAGGTCGAGCCGCAAAAGATGATGAGGTCGGGGCGTCCAGACCCCGATGATACGAGGCGGCTCGCAAGCCTGCACTAGGTCCTCAGACGACGTGAAGTAGTCGATCATGCTGCAACGGCCCTTCGCGCTCCTGCACGTGCCCTCGCACCGCTGGTGGACGACAGTGGCTGCCTCCAGGACGTCCAGGAGCCGGATGCTGTCGAGCTCGGCGGGGCCGCGTTCCAGTCGCCGCCGAAGGTGAAGAGCGCCGCGAAGTGGCGCAGGCAGGCCGCCAGCCGCATTAACCTGCTGTGGATGTTGGACAGGTAGTTAGCCGCCCCCACTGAATCCATGTAGACCGAGACGACGATGAGGCCTCATGTAAGGCCTGTGTGCACATGTAGTGCCAGCGACAACGCGGGGGAGATGCCAGACTTGTTTATCACCTGGCAGCCAGTGGGCTCGGTGACGGAGATGTGTGCCTTGAGGAAGACTGCGGCCCCTGCCGAAGGTAACTTGGTCTGGGGCCTCCTGCATGTGGATGTGAATAGTTCCCAGCCTCATTGCGCAGTCCACGTCTGTGCTCGGTCGAGCGCCTCGCCGTCCAGCTTCAACTCCTGTTCGCGCGCGGCCTGAGCGCCCCCTGCGCCATCTAACGCAAACGGCTGCAACGAACTCCAGCAAGACCCATTGAAGGTAATCGCGCCTACGCCGTGTCTGCGCGCGCCTCTTGGAACGCGTCTTCTAGTCATCATAAAACCCCAAGCCGCGCGGCAGTCGGTGTCCGCGTCGGCATTGACTGAGCTGGAGCTGGCTGGAGCACCTGGAGAGGTACCTGCTGATGTGGCTGCTGCGGCGAGTGCCCCTTGCCGTGGTGGATCCGAGCCGAGTGCGCCTGTTGCGCGGGGGGCCGCGCGGGAGGGTGACGACCTCGCTGTCCTGATCAGTCAGATGGTCAACGGCGGACTCCTGGTCCGTGTCGCAGAAGTCAGTGGCCGCATCTCGCCGGACCGTCCCAGTCACGTGGCGGCTCCTGCTGATCCTCCAGCGCAACCCAGCCGCAGTCCTTCCTGGGGCTGCGAGGACGGAGAAGGGGATCTCCCGCCAGAATCTCCCGGGCGATGCTCCCGCAGGTGGGTCGCAGCCTTCGCAGGCCCAGTGAGTGCGCCTGTCGTCGTAGTGCGCGGCTTCGTCGAGCTCGTATCATCGGCGCCAAAGGTCTCTCCCTCCCGCGGCCTGTGGAGCCTCTTGGAGCACGTCTTCTAGTCATCATAGTGCCCCCAAGCCGCGCGGCAGTCGATGTCCGCGTCGGCATTGACTGAGCTGGCGCTGGCTGGAGCACCTGGAGAGGTATCTGCTGATGTGGCTGCTGCGGCGAGTGCACCCTGCCGTGGTGGATCTGAGCCCGGTGCGCCTGTTGCGGGGCCAGAGGTGCGAAAAGCGTCGCCCTTGCTGCACCCCTTGGCGCCCGCGTTCGCTCGCGTCATGATGGGGCCCAGCTGCTAGATGTTGGCCACGAGGGTCCCTGGCAGCTGTCCCTGACGAGGTCCTTCGACTGGCCACCTTCCACCGACTGCTGGGCTGCCAGAGCGCTGTTCTGGAGCCTTTGCACTGCTGCTGCCGTGGCCTGAAGGTCGCCAGCTGGGGCGACGCTCGCCATGGGAGCCTTGGCCCTCGCAACCTCCGTGTTGGGCATCGCGATCTCCTTGGCGACAAGCTCGTGCTTGGCCCTGGTGTCCACCAGCTGCTGCTCGAGGCTGCTGATATGCTGGGTCAGCTTCTCGTGCTCCACCATCTTTGAGGCCAGCCTGTCGGGCGCGCTGCGCAGCGCGTCCTCGGGCGCCATGGATTCCGGGTCGCTCTGCTCCGCGCGCGCGAGCTCGGCCACGACCGTGCTCATGAGCTCGTGGGAGTCATCGTAGTGTAGGCGTCGGAATGACTGCGCCGACATGCGGCGCTTGGTCACCTCTGACTGTGGAGCAGCGGGCTTAGCGGGAGCATCGCGTTCAGGACGACCACTGCGATCGCGATCGCTGCTCGACGGGGTCCTGCGCCGCGGGCAGCCCCCGCCCTTGCTGCGGCCGCGCTTGAGGCAGGCCATCCTCGTGGCGAAATTGTTCTTGAAACCGCGGGCCTTGGCGGCGAAGCGCGCCCCTGGTGCCGCAGGTGCGTCGTGCGCCTGGCGCCGTGGAGCGTCGCCTCCGCCGCCGCCTGCGCCGCCGCCGCCCGCGGCGTTCTCGCCCGCCGTGTGCTCGCCGCGGTGCCTCCTCAGCAGCCGCCGCGCTGCGTCGAGCCTGAGCGCTCGACGCGCGGCGGCCCTCCCACGGCGGGCGCGTCTGCGCCAGGCGGGCGAGCGGCTCCTGGGCCGACCGCCTGGAATTGCGCGCGAGAAAGCACCGGCGCCCGAGCGCGGGCCGCTGGCTGGGGCCAGATGGACGCGCCGCGCCTCGCCCCAGCAGGGGCGCGAAACCCAAGTGGCAGCCTGGAGGAAGAGGGGGGGTCTGGGAACTCGGAGGAAAGGAAGAGCGCAGGCGGTCATGAGCACGAAACGAGAAGAAGGAACATGAGTATGTCTCCACCGCTGCGCGCTCGGGCCTAGCTCATCCACCTGCAAGCTGGGCCCTCAGAGGAAGAACCGCATGATGAAGTACTTGTGTGTGGAGGCGTAGATGAAGCTGGCGCTGGACTGCTCGTTTTCGCCCACTCCATCAGCTCCGCGATCGAGGGGAAATCGTGCGGCGCAGGCTTCAGAGACACGGCGCAGGTGTCCAGCAGCTTCGAGAAGGCGTCGCAGCAGCTCGCGTTGCTGATGCTGGTGAGGAGCAAGTCGTAGTAGCCGTCGAGCTTGGAGTCCAGACTGCCGCCGGATTCAGCCCGTGACGGCTCTCGACCCCGGAGGTGTTGGACGTGTTGCTCGATGCTGTCAACCTGCTGCTGCAGCTCGTCGCAGTCGCACTCGATGAGCTTCGCCCGGTCGTCGAGCTCGGTCTTGAGCTCGGGATGCAAGTCGTTGATCAGCGGCCTGAAGGCGTTCATGGACCGCTTCGCATCCGCGTCGGCGTACGCCTTGACCTCCAGCCACTTCTGGTCGAACGTGGCGCGCATCTCGTGCCGCGCGCTGTCGGGCAGCGAGGTCGTGTCGCGCAGTGGCGGCGGGCGCTGGTGCTTGAGAGACTCCTCGAGCATCTCGGTGATCGCAGCCTT